TTAAATATAACATCAATGATGTTTGCCAGCTTATAGCAGTAAAAAAATTAGCTAAGTTTATTGCCCATTCTGTATAACTTAATTATTTTTCATTCATTTTTCCTGCTTTTCTGAATGATCAACGTGATTGTTATAGCATAAGCAGGCAGCATCACCAGATTATTATTTTTAAGGTTGATTTGAAATCACGTATTTATTTTGTCTATTGTTATGCTTTCAAAACGCGTTACTATAGAACTAAATAATTCAAATTAAACGGTAATTTAAATTAAAAGAAATATATGCAATGAAAATTAAGGCCGAAATGGTACTACTTCGTTCAGAAAAACACGTAATAAAATGTCAAAATTATTATTGATATCAATAAATCTTGATAATAGTTACAAATTGAAGTAAAATATAAGCTATGCACCAAAAACCAAAAATATTGGAGAAACGGGACTAATTCGCTTATAAGAGAGTAAAAAACCACAAACTATTATTGACGTCCATGGCGCTTAATTAATTTTGTTAATAGGTACTAATTGAAATAAAAAACGTAAGCTATGAATTAAAAAAGCAAAATTGATGGAGAAAATGTACTTATTCGTTACGGGATGCCGTAAAATGTCGTCATACTACGTATTATTTACCCTTATTTTTGCTTTGGTTTTATGGATGTTTATTTTTTGTAATAAGTACTATTGGCATCATGGTAATTGGTGCTGTTTTAATAGGTATTAAATGTGCTCATGTGTATGTATAACATATTTTAGGGAAAATTTGGTAACTATTATAGTAGCACCTATACTATATATTTTTTAGAGAAGATTTCTTAAGGCTGTGTTATTTTCTTATCGGTCAGTGTATACCATATTGCGGGTATACCGCTAGCTCTAAAAATACGAGATTCAAAATTTATCTAAGTTAGAAAAATTGTAAAAAAAATTGAAGTCTGTATTTCATTTTTTAACTACATTTTAAAATCAGAGAATTTTTTCTCTGATTTTAATTACAAAAGGGAAATGAATGGAGAATTTAATTTAAAAAGGGAAATGAATGGTGCCGATTACAGCTTAAACAATAATGTACATTTTAATGATAGATTTCTCACGTCTACTCGAAAATATAAGTGCAGGAGAAAGAAGCTGATTTTGAATCATGAATTACTTTGAGCAACAGTTATGCCAGATTATTCTAAATACATTTAGTCCTTTACTTTGATGCTCTGAAATACTAAAAAGCTGTTTTTCTTAATGCACAAAATTCTAAAAATTCAAAACAATCATTCATATCCATATAAAAACTTTTTTTTTAAAAAAAATTGCATCTTTTTAGTAAAAACTAAGTCATTAAAATAAATTTGAATTCAAATAAATGGCAGGTAATTCGTTAACCTATTAGAAATGTGCTATATAATTCGTGATACAAATCAAAAATCGTCAAATAAATTCGTAATATATAAATTCGTGAAAAAAAGCACTTTCGACAAAATACTAAAATAGAGATCTATCGACAAAGACTACTCACTTCTGCGTAGCTTAATAGTATGAGATTGCCGCAACTGATGCTCTCTGGTTATTTCAGTTTCCGTTTTTAAAAGCGCTATATGTTGAACCACCTCACCTAGATTTGGCATGTGACATTTTTAGCGGCAATCATTGGTCGATTCGCCGTGTAAGAGAAATAGTAACGTAAACAAAGCAAAGCAATCGTTGCCACCGGCGGAAAAGAAATACAGCCAAAATTTGCGAGTCACGTAAGATATATATACACTACCGGTCAAAAGTTTAGACTCACTCTTGAATTTTTAAAAATAGACAAATAACAATTAAAAATGACTTCCCTTAAACTGAAAATTACATTAAATCAACTTTATTTTGAGAAATGTAGGTACGCGTATATGGTAAGAATTATAATTTTATGCATAACTAATGAATTTCTTCCAATCTTGGATTCCTCGAAATATCCTCCTTTAGCCTTTATCACAGCAGCACATATTTTTGACATTCTTTTTATTAGTTTTTGTAATGTTCTAGCTGATATCTGGTTCCAGCAACTAAGTAAAGATTCCCAAAGCTTGTTTTGATTGGTACATCTCATTTTTGTAGCATTTCTATGGAGTTCATCCCACAATAGCTCAATAGGATTAATATCAAGGGATTGAGGGGGCCAATCCATGTATTTCAGTACTTTTTTCTTTTCCTTTGATGCAATGTAGTTTCTACACAATATCGATGAAAGTTTTGGATCGTTATCTTGCTGAAAAACAAATCCTTGACCAACGACTCTCTGTCCACATGGTAAAGTGTAACGCTACAATATTCTGTGATAATATTTTTTATCCAAGATCTCCAACTTTATCACCGGCAAAACATTCCCAAATCATGACTGAACTTCCACCATGCTTCACAGTTTCTAGTAAACATTGACATCATACGTTCACCAACTAAACGACGAACATACTGCCTTCGTTTGTTTCCAAACAATTCAAATTTTGATTCGTCCGTAAACAAAACCTTTGACCTCTGTTCTAAAGACCACATAACACGTCTTTTAGCCCATTGCAGTCGTTTTGCTACATTTTGTTTTTCAAAAGAGGTTTTCTAGCAGCTACACAATCTTTTAAACCATAGTCACGAAGTCGACGTGGTACAGTAGATACTGACACAATTTTCTGCCGAGAAGGATTCAATTCCTAGCGGATTTCTGGTGCTGTTCGAGTCCGCTATCGCTTACTTTGAATGCGGATAAACCTATCCTCACGTTTGGACGTTATTCTAGGTCTCCCTGATCGCTGGCGGCTCTTATTTTGTCCAGTTTCTTTCCTCCTTTGCAAAGTTCTGACAATAATGGTCTGAGAAACATTAGTATTCGAGGCAATTTGTCTACTTGAATAGCCTTCTGCATGAAGTGCAATAATAGCTGCATATGTTTCCACACGTATTTCTCGTTTTTGACCCATATTTCTGTAATAAATTGTATAAAAAAAATTTTTGTTTTTAATCTATACTAGTTATTCTGGCTAATTAAGGCTATTATATCAATATTTAAAATTTGTCATTTACGTGAACATAACTTATAATTAACCTCATAAAAGAAGGTGAAAAGTAAATTGTTTATAAACTAAGAATTAATAAATTTTTTTAAATAAATTACACTTCTTTTAGAACAGGTACTTACATGCACTTTCGTTCATTTCGTTATCAACTGCAGAATTGATACAAAATGAAAAAAATAATGAACAGTTTTAAAAGAAAACAGAGTTTTAAGATGTTTGCTTATGATTATGTCAGAAACATTTAACTATTTTTGAAAGTTTTTAAATAAATGCAAGTGAGTCTAAACTTTTGACCAGTAGTGTATATATATATATATATATGTGTGTGTACATATA